TATGTCCTACATAAATCATTCTTGCAGAGTCAAAATGTTTTCCTATATCTGCACCACCAAATGCTCGAGTGATAGATCCAAGAAATGAATATTCTAATGGAGATAATATAGAGATAGCGTGTGATCCTGGATATCAGTTGTATGGTTCAGAAAAAGTTCTATGTAAAGATGGAAAATGGCAGTCTCCTCCTTGGTGCATAGGTAAGTCTTCAATTCTAATTTACGTTTGATATATTTCAATAAAAATGAGAAAATGTGATCTTTCAGTAGATCCTCCAGTTTCAGGGGCACCAGTGACAAGAACTCTCAGCTTAAGTTGACACTCACTTTGCATTTCAAATGACATAAGAGGGAATGAAACAAGAGGAGTGGAAATACCCCAAAATAGGTGGACAAACCCAAACCTTTGCTGAGAGGATGAGCTAGGTGCCGCTCCAGATTCTGGGGTTTTTACAGACTGTGAAGTTGGCATCTTTCCCCAGACTGGACCGGCTCAGGGACATCAGCAGACTTCAGTCCGCTGTCAGCTGACAACGGGAGTGCAGAACGAATTGAACTTCTGTGATCCACATGAGAAGTTTAGCTAAAAGAGCTTTGGCTGTACTTCTCCTTTAAGCAGCATATTGCTTTTATGAGGCATCAATATTTGTCAGCTGCCTCCATTGATTTCAATAGTAATGCTCTATAACCACATCTCACCAGCACCTATAGCGTTTATGGCATGTTGGGGAAGCATTTAGAAAGTGGTAGCTGGAGAGACAGTGGGGGCTCCTATATCCCAGAATGCATTGGGAAATAATAAAGAACTAGGACCAAGCAGATTTAGCCACTTCCTGTTTGTATAGAGCAGCCGTGTGGTAACACCATTTACTTCTGTGTGCGGACAAAAGCATCAAATAGCCAGCCATAATGACAGTGCCAGACAGGAGCAGATGGATTGAGCATTATTTTCAATGGTGAAGCTTTTTGTGTCAGCAAAGTTGAGCTGGACCAAGCCAGATGTCAAAGATCAAAGTATTCAAATCCATCTTGCAGAGAATTCACAAAGATGTTTGCTATCACACCACAACTTAAACACTCCTCAAAGCAGATCATTTCCTCTACATCACTTCACCTTTAAGCAGTTCCCACTAGAAAAACAACATTTCCATGGGCATTAAGCAAGTATTCCTGATGTTTTTTCAATGCTTCATAAACAGAACATAATCAAAATCTTAGACAAAAACATGAACACACCAAACATGGTATAGTGATCATTGCTTCATTCCTCATAATAAACACATGTTGGAACAAGCCCTAAGAGTAGTTAGGTTTAGACGTGTGATTTGTTTCATTATGGATCGAAATCTAGATGACATTTTTGTTGTTCTGACATCCGGATGTATCCAAATCTCCGAATCACAAAAGAAGTTAAATTCAACAAATCCAAAATAAATTATTAATTTGTTTCATTCATTTGCGACTTCAGAGGTTTTTGTAAGTTCAATAATATGTGTCACAATCTGTATTCTTATGATTGGCCAAAGTCGCAAGCAAGTTACATTAAAATTGCAAACAAATCGCAAAGCATCCAAGCTGCATCAAAGTTGCAAGCATGTCACAAGGAAATCGCAATGAAAAGTTACACTGGAAACATATTGAATAAATCTGAATCTTCCAAAATAACATCCAAAATACAAAGTGATTTGGAATAATGAATACTTTTGCATGGAAGCACAATTGTATGAACACAAATTATTTAGAGAACGCATACAGGTGCAACCAAGTGCAAGCGTGTTTTTGCATGCGTCATGTGTAGAGCCACTCATTCTATACAATGGGCTGCCCTATGCACAAGCAACACAGAAATTAAACTCCTGAATTTTCCAAAAAGATGCCACACCAAACCATAGGCTTTTGCTCCACCATGTAGTTTGGTGCTGTCAGGAATGGACTGGCAAATAACGGTGGGACTCACCTGCCTTGTGGGCTGCAGTACCAGGGCTGGCCAGCGGGTGCTCTCAGCAATCAGAGACTCACCCCTGCAGTCAGCCAAAACACCTGAAGCTGATTGCAGGGGTTGTATTTAAGGAATGGCCAGACTCACAGTCAGTGCCTTGGTGTGTGTTTTTCCATGGGCCCCTGTATCTTGTAACCTGCATTCCTGTTCCTGCCTGACTTGTTGCCGACCCTGCCTGATCCTGACTTCTCCTGACTTCTCCTGTTTGATCCCTGGCTTGTGACCCCGACCATTCTCTGCCTGACCCCCTGTACCGACCTGCCCGTTAGTTGCTGTACCCGGCTCGTGACCTGACTACTCTCCGCCTGCTCCTCCTGTACCTACCTGCCCGATAGTTATGGACCCGGCCTGCCTGACTACGTTGTGCTCTATATGTGTATGTACCTGTGTATCTATATCAGTTTAGGTTTGGGTTTGTTTCACCTTGTTGTATGTATTTGTGTTAGCTTGGGGTTTGGTGCACTGTGTTTATATTTGTATTGTTAGTCTTAATAAATTGTCTTATTTATACCATATCTGAAACCTGCGTTTCCCTGTGTCAGTCCACACACCTCTGGTCATACCCGGAGCCCTGACATTACACCAAGGCCAAAAACCTGACCAGAAGTGGCTGCACAGGGAGGCCATCTTGGCTTATTGTTGCTGGGAAGGATGGATCTTGATGAGGTGGTATATTTATCTCTGCTAGTGTTTGATGACAAAGACTATGCTTATCAGACTCTGAAGGAATATACCCGGGATCAACTACTAGAGTGTATAAGGATCGCTCATTGTCTAGTATATCAGGGCACAGAGTTTTCTGAGGTGCAGCCATTGATCTAGGTTTGTGCTGAGTTGGCTCGGCCCTGTACCCCTGAAAGCAGGAATGACTTTTTTCCCCCATTTAGTGTGGATCAAGTGGAATCACTGGTATGGTTGTTGGAGGATGATCCAGATTGTTTCCATGAGCACTATGCAGCTTGTCCATCACCTGTGCTTATGGATTGCATAAACGCAGTGCAGTCCTTGATCAGACAGGCTATGTGTAAGCTGAGTTTTGTTAAACCAGTACTGCAGACATGGACAGATTGTTACACCCAGCCTCAGTCGGCTTGCAACATCATTCCTCTGCTCAAGGCACTCTTCCTGCATCCCCGACAGCACCCCCAGTGACGGCCCAGTATACTCTGCTAACTACCACATACCAGTCCCCTGCTCCCACTCACTGCACCTATCCTTTCTTTAACCCTGTAAAGAAGTCCTCTGTAGCAACTGCTCCCTCCTCTGTTCCATCCTCCAGCTCTTCTCTGTCTTCAGGTGCTCCATTCGTTTACAGACCTGCGTTTACTTACAGTACTCCAGTAACTAAAACCAGAACAAAGCAAAAATTCTTTCCAACCAGTACCATCCTGCCAGTATCCAAACTGGTCAGCCTGCCGTCTGAGAACCCGCCTTCTGTGGTTCAGCCTGGTACCTCGGCACCCGCACTTCAGCCTGATGTCTCTACCCAGCCTGATGTCTGTACCCAGCCTGATGAACTGATCCAGCCTGATGATCCTATCATGCCAGATGACTCGGTGCCCGCAGTCTTGCCAGATAACTCGGTGCCCGCTGTCTTGCCAGATGACCTGATGCCTGGTGACCCGATGTCCGCTGTCGAGCCAGACGATCCAATGCCTGATGACCCAGTGCCCGCTGTCATACCTGGTGACCCGATGCCCGCTGTTGTGCCAGTTGACTCAGAGCCAGCTGTCATGCCTGGTGACTCGGTGCCCACTGCCTTGCCAGATGACTCGGTGCCCGCTGTCGAGCCAGATGACCTGATGCCTGGTGACCCGATGCCCGCTGTCGTGCCTGGTGACCCGATGCCCGCTGTTGAGCCAGAAGACTTGGTGTGCACTGTCGAGCAAAACGATCCAATGTCTGATTACCCGGTGCCCGCTGTTGTACCTGGTGACCCGATGCCCGCGGTCGAGCCAGATGACCCGATGCCCACTGTTGAGCCAGACGATCCAACGCCTGATGACCCAGTGCCCGCTGTCATGCCTGGTGACCCGATGCCCGCTGTCGTGCCTGGTGACCCCGATGCCCGCTGTCGTGCCTGATGACCGATGCCCGCTGTCGTGCCTGATGACCCGGTGCCCGCTGTCGAACCAGATGACCTGATGCCTGGTGACCCGATGTCCGCTGTTGAGCCAGACGATCCAATGCCTGATGACCCAGTGCCCGCTGTCATACCTGGTGACCCGATGCCCGCTGTCGTGCCAGTTGACTCAGAGCCAGCTGTCATGCCTGGTGACTCGGTGCCCACTGCCTTGCCAGATGACTCGGTGCCCGCTGTCGAGCCAGATGACCTGATGCCTGGTGACCCGATGCCTGCTGTCGTGCCTGGTGACCCAATGCCCGCTGTTGAGCCAGACGATCCAATGCCTGATGACCCAGTGCCCGCTGTCATACCTGGTGACCCGATGCCCGCTGTCGTGCCAGTTGACTCAGAGCCAGCTGTCATGCCTGGTGACTCGGTGCCCACTGCCTTGCCAGATGACTCGGTGCCCGCTGTCGAGCCAGATGACCTGATGCCTGGTGACCCGATGCCCGCTGTCGTGCCTGGTGACCCAATGCCCGCTGTTGAGCCAAATGACCTGGTGTCCACTGTCGAGCAAGACGATCCAATGTCTGATTACCCGGTGCCCGCTGTTGTACCTGGTGACCCGATGCCCGCGGTCGAGCCAGATGACCCGATGCCCACTGTTGAGCCAGACGATTCAACGCCTGGTGACCCAGTGCCCGCTGTCGTGCCTGGTGACCCAATGCCCGCTGTCGTGCCTGATGACCCGTTGCCCGCTGTCGTGCCTGATGACCCGGTGCCCGCTGTCGAACCAGATGACCTGATGCCTGGTGACCCGATGCCCGCTGTCGAGCCAGACGATCTAATGCCTGATGACCCAGTGCCCGCTGTCATACCTGGTGACCCGATGCCCGCTGTCGTGCCAGTTGACTCAGAGCCAGCTGTCATGCCTGGTGACTCGGTGCCCACTGCCTTGCCAGATGACTCGGTGCCCGCTGTCGAGCCAGATGACCTGATGCCTGGTGACCCGATGCCCGCTGTCGTGCCTGGTGACCCGATGCCCGCTGTTGAGCCAGATGACCTGGTGCCCGCTGTCGAGCAAGACGATCCAATGTCTGATGACCCGGTGCCCGCTGTTGTACCTGGTGACCCGATGCCCGCGGTCGAGCCAGATGACCCGATGCCCACTGTTGAGCCAGACGATCCAACGCCTGATGACCCAGTGCCCGCTGTCATGCCTGGTGACCTGATGCCCGCTGTCGTGCCTGGTGACCCAATGCCCCCTGTCGTGCCTGATGACCCGGTGCCCGCTGTCGAACCAGATGACCTGATGCCTGGTGACCCGATGCCCGCTGTCGAGCCAGACGATCCAATGCCTGATGACCCGGTGCCCACTGTCGTGCCTGGTGACCCAATGCCCGCTGTCGTGCCAGTTGACTCAGAGCCCACTGTCGTGCCTGGTGACTCAGTGCCCACTGTTTTGCCAGATGACGCGGTGCCCGCTGTCAAGCCAGATGACCTGATGCCTGGTGACCCGATGCCCGCTGTCGAGCCAGACGATCCAATGCCTGATGACCCGGTACTCGCTGTTGAGCCAGATGACCTGATGCCTGGTGACCCGATGCCCGCTGTCGTGCCTGATGACTCGGTGCCCACTGTCTTGCCAGGTGACTCGGTGCCTGCTGTCGAGCCAGATGACCTGATGCCTGGTGACCCGATGCCCGTTGTCGAGCCAGACGATCCAATGCCTGATGACCCAGTGCCTGCTGTCATGCCTGGTGACCTGATGACCCGGTGCCCGCTGTCGAGCCAGATGACCTGATGCCTGGTGACCCGATGCCCGCTGTCGAGCCAGACGATCCAATGCCAGATGACCCGGTGCCCGCAGTCTTGTCAGATGACTCGGTGCCCACTGCCTTGCCAGATGACGCGGTGCCCGCTGTCAAGCCAGGTGACCTGATGACCCGGTGCCCGCTGTCGAGCCAGATGACCTGATGCCTGGTGACCCGATGCCCGCTGTCGAGCCAGACGATCCAATGCCAGATGACCCGGTGCCCGCAGTCTTGTCAGATGACTCGGTGCCCGCAGTCTTGCCAGATGACTCGGTGCCCGCTGTTTTGCCTGATGACTCGGTGCCCGCAGTCTTGCCAGATGACACAGCGCCCGCAGTCTTGCCAGATGACCCGGCGCCCGCAGTCTTGCCAGATGACCCGGCGCCCGCAGTCTTGCCAGATGACTCGTGCTTGAGGTCTTGCCAGATGACTTGGTGCCCGCGGTCTGGCCAGATGACTCGGTGCCATCTCGCGGTCTTGCCAGATGGCTCGGTGCCTGATGTCTTGCCAGATGACTCGGTGCCTGCCGTTCCGCCTGGGGGCCCGCTGCCTGCCGCTCTGCCTGGGGGCCCGGTGCCTGCCGCCCCACCTGGGGGCCCGGTGCCTGCCGCCCCGCCTGGGGGCCCGGTGCCTGCCGCCCCGCCTGGGGGCCCGGTGCCTGCCGCCCCGCCTGGGGGCCCGGTGCCTGCCGCCCCGCCTGGTGGCCTGGTGCCTGCCGCCCCGCCTGGTGGCCCGGTGCCTGCCGCTCCGCCTGGGGCTCGGTGCCTGCCGCCCCGCCTGGTGGCCCGGTGCCTGCCGCCCCGCCTGGGGGCCCGGTGCCTGCCGCCCCGCCTGGTGGCCCGGTGCCTGCCGCTCCGCCTGGTGGCTCGGTGCCTGCCGCCCCGCCTGGGGGCCCGGTGCCTGCCGCCCCGCCTGGGGGCCCGGTGCCTGCCGCTCTGCCTGGTGGCCCGGTGCCCGCTGCTCCGCCTGGTGATCCAGTGTCCAGCCCGACGTGCCTCTGTCCGGTGTCCAGCCCGACGTGCCTCTGTCCGGTGTCCAGCCCGACGGGCCTCTGTCCGGTGTCCAGCCCGACGGGCCTCTGTCCGGTGTCCAGCCCGACGGGCCTCTGTCCGGTGTCTAGCCCGACGGGCTTTTGTCCGGTGCCCAGCCCGACGGGCCTCTGTCTGGTGCCCAGCCCAACGAGCCAGTCTTTGATATCCCGCTAGTTACCGAACCTGGGCGGTGGAACATTTTACCCAGCTAGGACTGTTTGGAGCGTCCTGAGGCCGCTCCTTGAGGGGGGGGTACTGTCAGGAATTGACTTGCCAATAACGGTGGGACTCACCTGCCTTGTGGGCTGCAGTACCAGGGCTGGCCAGCGGGTGCTCTCAGCAATCAGAGACTCACCCCTGCAGTCAGCCAAAACACCTGAAGCTGATTGCAGGGGTTGTATTTAAGGAATGGCCAGACTCACAGTCAGTACCTTGGTGTGTGTTTTTTTCCATGGGCCCCTGTATCTTGTAACCTACATTCCTGTTCCTGTTCCTGCCTGACTTGTTGCCGACCCTGCCTGATCCTGACCTCTGCTGACTTCTCCTGTTTGATTCCTGGCTTGTGACCCTGACCATTCTCTGCCTGACCCCCTGTACCTACCTGCCCGTTAGTTGCTGTACCCGGCTCGTGACCTGACTACTCTCTGCCTGCTCCTCCTGTACCTACCTGCCCGATAGTTATCGACCCGGCCTGCCTGACTATGTTGTGCTCTATATGTGTATGTACCTGTGTATCTATATCAGTTTAGGTTTGGGTATGTTTCACCTTGTTGTATGTATTTGTGTTAGCATGGGGTTTGGTGCACTGCGTTTATATTTGTATTGTTAGTCTTAATAAATTGTCTTATTTATACCATATCTGAAACCTGCGTTTCCCTGTGTCAGTCCACACACCTCTGGTCATACCCGGAGCCCTGACAGGTGCACACATTTACAGATGTTTCATTCATTTTCAGTACTGCTCTCCTGCACATAGTACAGTGTCATACACTCCACACTCATCATCTGCACAGCCTGCCACTATCTCCTTCTCTCCTGCACACAATACTCACTATCCTGCACATACCACCATAGCCTCCATTCTACTCTCCTATGCATACTACTGTCATACACTTCTCATTACTTTTCTGTCCATACTAACTCCCCTTATACCCTCCACATTGTTCTTACATTTATTACCCAGCATACGCCACACTGCATCCCCACATACTGCTCACTGTCATACCGCCCACACTCCTCTCCTGTACATACCGCCCACTGTCATACCCTCAACACTCCTTTCCTGTACATACTGCCCACTGTCATACCCTCCTCACTTCTCTCCTATACATACCACCCACTGTCATACCGTCCACACTCCTCTCCTGTACATACTGATCACTGTCATACTCTCCACAATCCTCTCCTGTATACACCTCCCACTGTCATACTCTCCATACTCCTCTCCTGTACATACTGTCCTCTGTCATGCCCTCCCCACTCCTCTCCTGTACATACTGCCCACTGTAATTTCCTCCACACTCCTCTCCTGTACCTACTGCCCATTGTCATATCCTCCACACTCCTCTCCTCTACATACTGATGTCCTGCACATAGTACAGTGTCATACACTCCACACTCATCATCTGCACAGCCTGCCACTATCTCCTTCTCTCCTGCACACAATACTCACTATCCTGCACATACCACCATAGCCTCCATTCTACTCTCCTATGCATACTACTGTCATACACTTCTCATTACTTTTCTGTCCATACTAACTCCCCTTATACCCTCCACATGTTCTTACATTTATTACCCAGCATACGCCACACTGCATCCCCACATACTGCTCACTCTCATACCGCCCACACTCCTCTCCTGTACATACCGCCCACTGTCATACCCTCAACACTCCTTTCCTGTACATACTGCCCACTGTCATACCCTCCTCACTTCTCTCCTATATATACCACCCCACTGTCATACCGTCCACACTCCTCTCCTGTACATACTGATCACTGTCATACTCTCCACAATCCTCTCCTGTATACACCTCCCACTGTCATACTCTCCACACTCCTCTCCTGTACATACTGTCCTCTGTCATGCCCTCCCCACTCCTCTCCTGTACATACTGCCCACTGTAATTTCCTCCACACTCCTCTCCTGTACCTACTGCCCATTGTCATATCCTCCACACTCCTCTCCTCTACATACTGATCACCGTCATACCCTCCACACTCCTCTCCTGTACATACCGCCTATTGTCATACCCTTAACACTCCTCTCCCCTACATGCTGATCACTGTCATACCCTCCACACGCCTCTTCTGTATATACCACCCACTGTCATACCCTCCACACGCCTCTCCTGAACATACTACCCAGTGTCATATCCTCCACAGTCCTCTCCTGTACATACTGCCCACTGTCATACCCTCCACGCTCCTCTCCTGTATATACCACCCACTGTCATACCTTCCACAGTCCTCTCCTGTACATACTGTCCTCTGTTATGCCCTCCACACTCCTCTCCTGTACATACTGCCCACTGTCATACCCTCCACAGTCCTCTCCTGTATATACTACCTACTATCATACCCCCCACACTCCTATCCTGTACATACTGCCCACTGTCATACCCTCCACACTCCTCTCCTGTACATACTGTCTAATGTTATACCCTCCACACTCCTCTCCTGTGTATATACCCTTTTTATTCCAATACTGCATATACTGTTCACTTTCATATCCTCCACACTCTTCTCCTGTACATACCGCCTCCTGTCATACCTGCACATCCCTTTCCTGGAATCCACTGCCTGCAGTGTTCCTTTAAAACCTTAGGATCAATATACGTGTTTACTGTTAGTACCAGTGTTTTTGTTTTGTTTACTTTACAACAACAGCTCTCTTATAAATGTGTAGCATTACCCCCTTAGGAGTCACTGAAGTTTGGGTCCCCCTATAGCCCTGCACAGCCAGACAACACACATTTCCCTCAGTCAGACTTGTACCCAGAAGACAGTAACCAGTCTTCTAGCTTGTTTTGAAATTTTATTAGGGGATTGAACTTGGGTGTAAGGGGTGTATTTGATGCCCAAGGGTAATGGCAACAGAGGCCACACTCCTTAGTAACCACTGTATGTACAAGTCTTTACAGCAAAAAATTTATCTTCCAGAAAGCTAGCCAGTGTCTTCCATAGTATTGCCCCAGACCCTCGATGAATCCTCTCCTCATCCAGCTGTACTGGGTGAATTTCTGAGCAGGAGATCCAGTGCCTGCCACTGCAGTGTGAACAGTCCCAGGTAAAAAGATAATCCAGTGCCTCTTTCCCCTTACTGGCCCAGGGGTTGCAGGATTACTCACTCAGTTTTTCTCCTATGCTTCTGGTGGGTTTTTGGCTGCTACCCGGCCTTCTAGCTGGGCCGCTTCTTCCCTGCTGCACAGGGGGTCCTCTCTCTGGGGGCTGGTGAAGTCCTGAGCTTTCCTCCCTCTAAGGTCCTCTGCCATATGGGCTCCCTCCAAGGCTCCTGCTTTCCAGCCTCACTTCCTCTCCATCTTCTACCCAAACTCTCCTGCTACTGAGCAGGCTCAGTCATTCTTAAGGGCTATCCTGGCCCCAATCCCTGTTGGATTGGCCAGGATCCTTTTAGAGTGAAAACCAGCCACTCCTCACTCCCTCCCACTGTGTGACAGATGCAACCAGGACAGGGGCTTTTAGAGGACTGCATGCTAGCCTTTTGCCTACTGGCCATGGCCCTGGCATCTGAGAGGGGCTCTATTCTTTTGGTGGCTGCCTGGGGGGACCTTTGGAGTAGTTTACTTCGGATTCAAGTTCATGTCTCCCCAAAACACACAGACTCTGAGAACTGGAGCTCCTGTCCTGGTTGGGTCTGTCACATTTCTCCCCCCTCAAAAGTCAACTAGCCAGGTCACAGACCTCCACCTGATCTGGACATGCATTAGTCGGGCAGAGTGAACCCACAAAATCATTCCACACAATCCGCATTCTTGGCCACAGGGAAATGTTATTGGTAGGTGAGGAGCAGAGGTCATGAACCCTCTGTACGGTTGCCAGCACTGGGAGGTCTTTATCATTCTGGGCTTTGGTCGACTGCTGAGTAGAGAGGGCAACTTTCCCAACTCCCTGGAACTGTGAAGACATGGTAGGTGCTGGACAGAGGCCAGTGGCACTCTGCCCTGTTGCCAGCGCTTCAGCTGGGGACCCCACATCTTCCATTCTGGCTGACTGTTTGGGAGGGAGGACGACCCCCTCCTCTTCTGGACTGTGGAACTGCTGCTGGTAAGATGAGTCTTTTGCTCTCCTGTATCCTCATCCGGCTGCTGGGATAACAATTCTCTGGTACTGTCTCCCTGGTGTATGGATCCTTACTGGGGATGTAAAACAGTTTCCTCCACTCTGGCTGATGTTTGGGCAGGGAGGACGAACGTTTTCTGTCCCAGACTGTGGATCTGCTGCTGGGGAGGGAGGATGACCACCTCCTCTCCTGGACTGTGGATCTGCCGCTGGGAAGGATGACTTTCTTATCTCCCGGGTCCTTGAACTGCCACTGGAGAGGGTGGGTGTCAGGGATCCCCTCGATCCCTGCCGCGATGGTCCCGGTGCAGGCGCACTGCACCGCCCTGTGCAGGGACACGGGCACTAGGTCCGGGCCGGCCACGGCGTTCGAGTTCGCGCATGCGCAGTAGAAGCCGCGGCCGCCCGCTGGGCACCAATGGCAGCGCAGGGCGGGATATTTAAATGTCCCTGAGCTGTCATTTCGGTGCCTTCTGGTCTTACCTGTTCCCTGTGTATCTGAACCTGTGCCTAGTAAGTTATTTGACCCGGATTGTTCTTGACCTGCTGATTTCTCCTGCCCAGACCCTTGCTTTGCCTGACCTCTCTTCCTGGATGCCCCTCATTAGATTTGACCTACTGTTGCTGACCTGGCATGTGACCCGACGATTCTCTGCCCGCTCCCTTGTACCTTACCGTCCTCTACGTTACCAACTCGGTCTGTCTGACTTCGCACTTGCTCAGCCATCCATCCATCCATCCCATCGGGGTCACCCGACCTCCTCACATCTGGCTCTCCCTGGTTGGAGCCCCTGGTGAACACCCCTACCACTGACAGGTGTGCTCAGTAGTGGCGACCTGGTCCCGGGGTACTACAGGTCCATCCCCACCATCAGGGGCTCTGGTGAACAAGTACCCTGGGGCTTAGACTCCGCGCTCTGGGCGCGCCTGACCAGTGGAGTGCTAGTGGTGCCGCCCGGCGGTCCCTCACAGTACCAGAAGGCCCCATGACTGAGCCACGAGGAGGACCCTCCCCAATGGAGGAGGTTTGCAGGCACCTGGCTACCCTGACGCAAGCAGTAAACACTTTGCAGGACAGATGTTTGCAGATTGAGAATCGGTTTCAGGCCTGCACCATATCTGTTCCTATTTCACAGGCCCCGGCTCCTGCACCCCCGGTTGCAGCAGCCCACGAGCCGGCTCCTGGGCCTTCCGCATCACTCCCTATGGCGGAACCCTGAGTACCCCTACCTGAGCGCTTCCACGGGGATCGCACACGCTTCCGGTCATTCCGTGACTCCTGTCTGCTCTATTTTGAACTACAACCACAGACTTTTTTGACAGAATCGGTGAAAGTGGGGTTTGTTATCTCCCTGTTGCAGGGGGAACCCCAAGACTGGGCCCACCGACTAAGGGGAAATAATGACCCCCATCTGGTGACGGTTGACAACTTTTTTAATGCTATGGCCATCTTATACGATGATCCACAACGGGCGGCCTCGGCCGAGGCCACATTATACGCACTCCGACAAGGTCGGCGAGCGGCTGAGGAATACGCCTCTGACTTTAGGCGTTGGATGGGAGACACTCGCTGGAACGAGTTTGCGCTTTTGCACCAGTTCCGTATGGGCCTATCTGAGGCTCTGAAAGACGAGCTCGCCCGGGTGGAGGTGCCTGAGACAGAGGACTTGATTGCACTCACCATTAAAATTGACCGTAGGCTACGGGAGCGCAGATTGGAGAGGTCTGGTCAGGGTCGCAGAAATACCTGGGGGTCATTCCAAGGAGCCAGTCAAAATACTAGGCCAAACTTCCAGAACCTGCCGTCTGAAGATGCTCCCGAACCCATGCAGCTAGGCCTGGCACGGCCTAAACTACCGCCAGAGGAACGCCAGCGCAGACGCTCCCAGAACCTGTGTCTCTATTGCGGTGAAGCTGGTCACATGGTACGTTCCTGCCCGCAGAAACTGAGTAAGTTCACCTCATCTTCTTATCTATTGGCAATATGAATCCGTCCCAATACTTAGTTGTCCCCCTCTCCTTTCAGCTTTCAGAAAGGACCGTGGAGGTGACGGCCATAGTTGATTCGGGGGCATGCAGCTGTTTTGTGGATATCAATTTTGCTCACCGGCAGGGTATCCCCCTCCGTCCAAAGGAGAAGGGGTTTCACATCTTTTTGGCTGATGGTTCCCGGATAAAGTCAGGGGTGGTTAACCAGGAGACCCCTTCCATTGTGACTTCCATTGCCGGTCAGCACCGGGAGCTCCTCCGCCTGGATGCTATTGCATCACCCCTTTTCCCAGTCATTCTGGGGCTCCCATGGTTGCGGGCCCATAACCCCCAAATTGACTGGGAGACTGGGGTTGTCTCGTTCCCTTCCC